GTGATGGAACGGTGATGGAACGGTGATGGAACGGGGATGGAAGGTCTTGATGGTCAGGTCTTGTGTGTTCAGGAGACAAGACCTGAGATTACCATCATATCAAGTGAACAGAGGCTCGAACCCGGGATGGCCTGTAGCCGAGGAAGACATGTTACCTGTACGCCAGGGCACATGACTGAAACAATCACTTGTACGCCAGAAAGCGCAAAGTCAAGATGACCAAACTTGGAACGGACGTAGGACTAAGAAACTGGTGTATTAAGCGAGAGTAAGAAGCTTAAACCTTAAAGGAAATTCAGCTTCAAAATTGAAGCTTGAATTCAAAATTCAAGAAATTGTCTTCACCGAGCCGTAGAGTTGAATGTTGTTGTTAAAGATTCGCTACCTGGAACAAAAAGTTCCAAGTAGCACGGGCTATGGTGAGCCCGTAGTTAGAGTTGAAGGTATAGAAGGCGATGACATAGCAAATTGCTTAATAAAATTCTATTTAATTCTGAATATTTCCTTAGATTGCTCCTAATAGTTTTGGTGATATTATTCTTGGCTTTATTCTCATCTTGCGGTAAATAAAAGATCCACACACTTTGACATTATTTTGAAAACTATAGTGACATCCTTGTCTTAAACATTCCATATATTTATTTTGCTTTCGCTTGGAATACTGAAATTGTATGTTTGAAAGTTCACTACGGGATCACCATAGCCCGTGCTACTTGGAACTTTTGGTTCCAAGTAGCTGACCAGGGAACACAGGGGGCTCTGTGGATGGTTGGTGAGGGACAAGGCGTCAGGGGAACATGGTCACACTACCAACTTCACTCAGGTAGCGAGCGAAACTCTTCCCTAACTTGCTCCGAGGCCTTAGCGACAGCTCCGCAGTGTTAAGTGATAACGCACGTCCCTCTCTCTCTCTCTCCCTCTCTCTCTCTCCCTCTCTCTCTCTCCCTCTCTTTCCCTCTCCCTCTCTCCCTCTCTCCCTCCGCCTCACAATACGTGCGTGTGTGTGTGCATCTCCAGCACACACATCTACACTCTGGGTTCTGACAGTTAAGACGGTAACATAAGTGAATGCAGACGTGTGAATATTTAAATAATGAAAGACCTTTGTTATGGCGAATCTTCAAGGTGATCTTGGGCACACAAAAGGAACAAAAACTCAGAAGTGTCCTTGTTGTGTTTGCGAGGGGGAGGAGGAGGACAACGGGGGAGACGGAAGGGGTGATACAGCTCTCTCCCAGCTGCCTGGGTGTGGGTCTTACAGCTCTCTCCCTTTAGCAGCAGCTGGGAGATAAGAGATCCAGACCTCTCCCAGTCGCATTTGCTGGGAGCTTGGAGTTCCATCCCTCTCACAACAGCAGGAGAGGCAACAGCAACAGCATCAGCAGGAGAGGCAGCAACAGCAGGAGAGGCAACAGCAACAGCATCAGCAGGAGAGGCAGCAACAGCAGGAGAGGCAACAGCAGCAGCAGCAGAAGAGGCAGTAACAGCAGCAGCAGCAGCAGCTGGGAGGTATAAGACTCGACCTATAAGACTCCTAATTAACCAACAAAAGGATGACCTGACCAGCTCTCAGTCGGCATATCTCTCTCCTCATTCATAATCTCGAAGCAAAATGCTTTATCTCGCCTTCAGTTCATGAGAATCGATTGCTTTTTAAAACCTTGCAATATACTTTTTCCCTCGAGTGCTAACAGGGGTATACTTGAAGTATAACGGGATTGTCCTTAATGGTTTGGTGTTGTGATTAAGAGTTATAGACATCTGGAGGGTTATTATGATCTATTCATATCTAAAAGGCTATTTAGACTCTAGGTTATTTAGGCTATTCCTCTCTAGATGGTTAGTAAGGCCTATCAATCTCAGAAAGGTATTAAGGCCAATCAACCTATGGAGAGTTATTAAGGTCAATCAACCTATGGAGAGTTATTAAGGCCACTCAACCTATGGAGAGTTATTAAGGTCAATCAACCTATGGAGAGTTATTAAGGCCAATCAACCTATGGAGAGTTATTAAGGTCAATCAACCTACGGAGAGTTATTAAGGCCTATCAATCTCTGAAAGGTATTAAAACCAATCAATCTCTGAAGGGTTATTAAGGCCTATCACTCTCAGGAGGGTTATTAAGACCACCTCAATAACTTACTGACCAACTACACAAAGTCTATACACTATATGGACATTTAGTCCTGTATATTGTCCAGGACTAAAGTAAGTATACTCAGTATGTATACACCGATATATGCGAGGAGATATATTCTCATAAAAATATAACGGCTCTCATGGTTTAAAAAACAACTCCGAACCAAAATATATGCAACAAAATTCACATATTTCGAGTCAAAAAAGAAGGGAAAAAATGAAATAGAAGCAAATACTATAACAATTGTACCAGTGCACATCAATGATCGTTCACCAAACGTTTTTTTTTTTAGTTCAAGGTAATTAATCCAGCTCGTTCACAGTTACTCGGAGGCAAGGGCACGCCCGCGCGCGCGCGCGCACACACACACACACACACACACACACACACACACACACACACACACACACACACACACACACACACACACACACACACACACACACACACACACACACACAAACACCCACACACACACACACACAAACACCCACACACACACACCCAAACACCCATACACAAACACCCACACACACACACACACACACACACACACACACACACACACACACACACACACACACTCACACACACACACACACACACACACACAAACACCCACACACACACACCCAAACACCCATACACAAACACCCACACACACACACCCACACACACACACACACACACACACACACACACACACACACACACACACACACACACACACAAACACACACATACACACACCCAAACACCCATACACAAACACCCACACACACACACACACACACACACCCACACACAAACACCCACACACACACACCCACACACACCTGTTCGCTATCCTATGATCAAGTGCGTTGCAATACAAGCGTATTTAACACTCACAAACAAACCAATTTACAAAATCCTTTTAACAAATGCACTAGTTTCTATCGGTGGCCTTTGGGGAAAAATATGTCGCTTTTGGCTACAGAAAAAAAAAACAAAAAATTACAAAATAAAATGCTTTCCTCTGCTGGTTTCCGATTTCCACTGCCAATCAGGGACTTTCAGAACTTTTCAGAACGTGCTGGGAATCAGAGTTCGTTGAACAGGCTCCTTATCTGCCCCTTCTGCCAGTAGAGGATAAACCTATTTCCAATAGAGCATTTACCGTCTATATTTGCGTTTCATGCCCTTTCTAATCAAACACTTCTTAGTGAACAATTGACTTCGCCCACGAATTCCATTTCTACCCTGGCTTGACTTATCAATATGCGGGCGAGGAGTCACAATAACGTAGCTGAAGTATGTTGACCAGACCACACACACTAGAAGGTGAAGGGACGACGACGTTTTGGTCCGTCCTGGACCATTCTCAAGTCGATTGTGAGAACCAAGAATGGTCCAGGACGAACCGAAACGTCGTCGTCCCTTCATCTTCTAATGTGTGGTCTGGGTCAACTTGACTTATCAATTTCAACCTTTGCATGACTAATTCTTAGTCCTGCTGCCCATGTTTTCAATCCGCTAGTACTAACCATTACTAATTGTCCTATTATCACACACACATCAAACTAGAAAGAGACCTATTGACCCACATCATCACTCACAGAGGTGAGTACACCACTCCACACCCCCACCCACAGAGATATGTCACACCCCGACACCTCCCACCCACCCCCCTCCTCCGCCCAACCACTTGGGCTGGAAGGTAGAACGACAATCTCGCTTCATGCAGGTCGGCGTTCAATCCCCGATCATCCACCAAGTGGATGGCCACCATTCCTTTCCCCCCGTCCCATCCCAAATCCTGGCCCCTTCCAAGTGCTATATAGTCGTAATGGCTTGGCGCTTTCCCTTGATAGTTCAATTAAAGTCTTTTTTGAGACTTGGGGCCACGAAGCTCTTAACTATGGGATCAGACGAGCAGATCAGCCTTGAGACAGCTCTGTAGACAGTTAATTAATAAAGGTTCAAGGGGGTTATCCTCAGTTATAGCTGCGGGCTCCAGGCTTCTCAGCCTCTCCAGTTATAAAAAAAAGCTCCACTAAAGCTTAAAAAAATCTCCACAAAAAAGCTCCACAAAAGCTCCACAAAGGCCTCCACAAAAGCTCCACAAAGGCCTCCACAAAAGCTCCACAAAGGCCTCCACAAAAGCTCCACAAAGGCCTCCACAAAAGCTCCACAAAAGCCTCCACAAAAGCTCCACAAAAGCCTCCACAAATGCCTTCACAAAGCCTCCACAAAAGCTCCACAAAAGCCTCCACAAAGGCCTCCACAAAAGCTCCACAAAGGCCTCCACAAAAGCTCCACAAAGGCCTCCACAAAAGCTCCACAAAGGCCTCCACAAAAGCCTCCACAAAGGCCTCCACAAAAGCCTCCACAAAGGCCTCCACAAAAGCTCCACAAAGGCCTCCATAAAAGCTCCACAAAGGCCTCCACAAAAGCTCCACAAAAGCCTCCACAAATGCCTTCACAAAGCCTTCACAAAAGCTCCACAAAAGCCTCCACAAAAGCCTCCACAAAAGCCTCCACAAAAGCTCCACAAAGGCCTCCACAAAAGCTCCACAAAGGCCTCCACAAAAGCTCCACAAAGGCCTCCACAAAAGCTCCACAAAGGCCTCCACAAAAGCCTCCACAAAGGCCTCCACAAAAGCTCCACAAAGGCCTCCACAAAAGCTCCACAAAGGCCTCCACAAAAGCTCCACAAAAGCCTCCACAAATGCCTTCACAAAGCCTTCACAAAAGCTCCACAAAAGCTCCACAAAGGCCTCCACAAAAGCTCCACAAAGGCCTCCACAAAAGCTCCACAAAGGCCTCCATAAAAGCTCCACAAAGGCCTCCACAAAAGCTCCACAAAAGCCTCCACAAATGCCTTCACAAAGCCTTCACAAAAGCTCCACAAAAGCTCCACAAAGGCCTCCACAAAAGCTCCACAAAGGCCTCCACAAAAGCTCCACAAAAGCCTCCACAAAAGCCTCCACAAATGCCTTCACAAAGCCTTCACAAAAGCTCCACAAAGGCCTCCACAAAGGCCTCCACAAAGGCCTCCACAAAGGCCTCCACAAAAGCTCCACAAAGGCCTCCACAAAAGCTCCACAAAGGCCTCCACAAAAGCTCCACAAAAGCCTCCACAAATGCCTTCACAAAGCCTCCACAAAAGCTCCACAAAAGCCTCCACAAAGGCCTCCACAAAAGCCTCTACAAAAGCCTCCCCAAAAGCCTCCACAAAGGCCTCCACAAAAGCCTCTACAAAAGCCTCTACAAAAGCCTCCACAAAAGCCTCCACAAAGGCCTCCACAAAAGCCTCCACAAAAGCCTCCACAAAAGCCTCCACAAAAGCCTCCACAAAGGCCTCCACAAAAGCCTCCACAAAAGCCTCCACAAAAGCTCCACAAAAGCCTCCACAAATGCCTTCACAAAACCTTCACAAAAGCTCCACAAAAGCTTAGTCGCTAGCGCGTGGGGACACCCAGCGCATAGGTTCGAGCCGTCGTCAAGGCTCCAACGGATTTTATAATTTTTTTATTATTATTATTAATGAGATCAATATGAGCAATGAGGGGATTCGAACCCTCGAACTGGGTACTCCCAAGCCGCACACCTTATCTCTGCACCACGACATGTAATTAGTTACAAAAACTGGGATTCCACTGAATCCACAGGACGTCTGGAGACTTGGCAACACCCAGGTCGAAGGTTCGAATCCATCTCATTGCTCCAATAGATTTTCATATTGATCACACTAGTGAGATTTCCTTACTGTGATTTGTTTATTTATAGTGATATAAAGCAACAAATCACTGCCAGCTAAGAAAAAACATGTTGTTTCTCTTCTTTTGCTTTAGTTTAAAAAATCTCAAAAGGCAAAAATGCTGGAGGGACGGAGGGACTTACCAGGGGAAAGCGCCGAGCCATTACGGCTATATAGCACTTGGAAGGGGTCAGGATAAGGATTGGGGATGGGACGGGGGGGTAAGAATAGTGCCCAACCACTTAGTGGACGGTCGGGGATTGAACGCCGACCTGCATGAAGCGAGACCGTCGCTCTACCACCCAGCCAAATTGCTGGAATATTTTCTTAAAAGAAAAACTTTTCAAATCCATTGAAATCAGTAAATAAAATTTCCAGGAGAGTTTCTGGAGATTCATTTCGTTTGGAGGAGAAAAACGGAAGGAAAAGGTCTTATTTCCCAGCAGTCTTGTCCAATTATTGACAACTTCACAAATCCCTGGAAGCTTTAGGAGGCTGCTCTTCCTCATGATCGTTTAGCCCGTGTATAGGCTATTGAGGTTTTGTTCAGTGTGTTTCATCAACAACACACGTTGTAAAATATATATATATATATATATATATATATATATATATATATATATATATATATATATATATATATATATATATATATATAGAGAGAGAGAAAGAGAGAGAGAGAGAGAGAGAGAGAGAGAGAGAGAGAGAGAGAGAGAGAGAGAGAGAGAGAGAGAGAGAGAGAGAGAGAGAGAGAGAGAGAGAGAGAGAGAGAGAGAGAGAGAGAGAGAGAGAAATCCCCTAATGCCAATTCCTCATATATATAAACCTCTAGCCAAGGTTTATATATAAAATCGAACCAGTTTTTTTGTACCGAACAAAACTTAAATAATTTTCTTTCCACGACAACTTTACTATTTTAAGAATAAAGAAATCCTTGATGTCTGAACATTTCTGTGATTGAACAGCAAATTCAGAACAAAAAGGCAAAAGTCAACTTCTGGTTGAATTCTGTCAGAAATTCTTTTTTCGAGAATTTGGAATTTCTTTTGGATATCAGAAATAAAATAGGAAGACCCTTGACCTTATTTTTTTTTTTTTAAATCAAGTAAGAAGCAGTCAGGTCGAAGGGGAAGCCTGCAGATTACGAAAACCTATTTGAGGGAGAAAATAAAGCACTTACTAGTAATTATCATCCAATTAGCTTAACTTTTGTAGTTAGAAAACTCATTAAAAACCTATTCAGGCATTTAACTGATTCATTTTACTAAGTAAAAATTACCGTCACGGATTCGTGTTTTAAAAAGAAAAAACTTAAAAGATTTAGTTATTAAGTAAAATTTAAAATAACTGTAACGACTATCAGACTCTTTACCATCAAATTTATCATTAACCACCATCAGACCCTTACAAAACCACCAGCAGTTTATCAAGACGTCAAGAAGTGGAAAAAGGTTTTTAAACATTAAAAACGTGGTTCAGTTTCAAGAACAAGTAACCCCGTTCCAGACAGATTTTGTAAGAGAGGAGCAACACCAACACACAAACACACATACACACCCAAACCCACACACACACACACACCCACCCACCCACCCACCCACCCACACACCCAAACACACCCACCCACCCACCCACCCACCCACCCACCCACCCACACACACAAATGACATCGCAAGCAAGGCAAAGACTCAGCCTAAATTGTTGCATAGCCACATTAGGAGAAAAACAACAGTAAAGGAACAGGTTATGAGATTAAGGATAGGGGCGGAAGGATTCACTACAAATGACAAGGAAGTGTGTGAGGAATTGAATAAGAAATTCCAGGAGGTCTTCACCTTAGAGCAAGGAGAAATTCCAGAGGTAAGT